AAAGATTAAACAGGTATATTTACAGGTAAGTGAATAAATGCAGAGTTAAAGCAATCTATGATTGCATTAGAGATCTGGGAGAAGTGGTGAAGGTACGCAGGCTTTTCTAATCTGCACACACACGCTGTCATATTAAGTTCAGGTGTATAAGGCCTCAGAGTACATGGAGAGATCAAATGTATACTTTTTAAGGATTCAAAGACTTTAAACACTTGATTAGTAACAAATGAAAAACACAATTAGTAAAACTGGCTTTTAAACCAAGAAATATCCACTGAAACTGGACTAATAAAGGGTGTAATTCCTAACAAATGAGAACCAATGTTTATAGTGCTGTCGGTCTTTTCTGCCCTCTGGTGGTTAGTCTGCTGAAACAAACATGAAGATTTCTTTGTGCTGTATGGATTACTTGCAATTATCATATATTTATCCAGATATCCTCTACACCCCCCCCCCCCCCCCCCCAATTTTTGCACATGTCGAGGAGCGTGTCAGGCTACATTTCACTGTGTGTTATACTTGTATAACTATGCACGTGACAAATAAAGAATAAAGAAGAAGAAGAAAGATAAAGAAGATAAATACTAGTGAGTGAAAAAACAAAGGGAAGACTGACAACCTTATGATGAGTACATTTACTGCTTACCTCCTGAGCTACAGCTGTGAGACCAGCTCCTACACAGCAATTCTCCATTTCTCTGCGTGAGGGTTGAACAACATTCTTCATTCTCAGCACCGTCAATTCAATTCAAATTTTATTTATAAAGCACCAAATTATAAAAACACTCACCTCAAAGCACTTTATGCTGTAAGGTAAAGAGCCTGCAATAATAAAGGAAGGAATAGCAGTAAGAAACCTCTGGCAGGACCAGGCTCAGGGAGGGCCAGCCATCACCTGCAACCAGTTGTTGGTGAGAGGATGTCTAACACCTTGCTCCAATAGCTGTTAAACTCTGCTGTGATCTGATGAGCATGAATGGATTTGTTCATGGGAATCATCATCCAGAAAAAGATTACTGCCATTAGAACAAGAATCTGTTACAGTAGGATAAAGGTGGTCAGTAAGAACAACTTTGTACGGTGACTGACATGTGGTAATGTCCTAAGATACTGGAGCAGAGCAGGCTACAGCACAGATTGTGCTTCTAGTGTAAAATGAGTTCAATCCAGTCTTTGAGAATCACAAGAGAAGAGTCTTTATTTCCAAGTCTGGAGGTGTTCGCTGAATCCTTGAAACCCCCCCCCCCTAAAACTTATTTATCAGCTAAAGTCTTCTTGCTTATTTTGGGCAATGCAGCAAAAATCGAGAGCTCAAATCAAAATTTATTTTCTGTTGTTTGTGGGATCTGGATCTCATAACCAGATGCGTACTTAGCTTGGCCTCCAGTAACACAGTGAGGAATGGTGGAGTTACCCTGTTAAAAGGGAGCCATCTTTCCCACTGTCGCCCAGTGCTTACTCATAAAGCATCTTGAGGTGACTGCTCTTGTGATTTGGTGTTATATAAATAAAATTGAACTGAAATTTAATAAATAAAATAATGTCAGACTATGCCATCACTAAACCATTTTAATGCATTTTGATATTATTATATGTGAGCGTATGTGAAAGTTTAAAAATTATTGATGTGTACACCTATACAGTGGGGCAAAAAAGTATTTAGTCAGCCACCGATTGTGCAAGTTCCCCCACCTAAAATGATGACAGAGGTCAGTAATTTGCACCAGAGGTACACTTCAACTGTGAGAGACAGAATGTGAAAAAATAATCCATGAATCCACATGGTAGGATTTGTAAAGAATTTATTCGTAAATCAGGGTGGAAAATAAGTATTTGGTCAATAACAAAAATACAACTCAATACTTTGTAACATAACCTTTGTTGGCAATAACAGAGGTCAAACGTTTACTATAGGTCTTTACCAGGTTTGCACACACAGTAGCTGGTATTTTGGCCCATTCCTCCATGCAGATCTTCTCGAGAGCAGTGATGTTTTGGGGCTGTCGCCGAGCAACACGGACTTCCAACTCCCACCACAGATTTTCTATGGGGTTGAGGTCTGAAGACTGGCTAGGCCACTCCAGGACTTTCAAATGCTTCTTACGGAGCCACTCCTTTGTTGCCCGGGCGGTGTATTTTGGATCATTGTCATGTTGGAAGACCCAGCCTCGTTTCATCTTCAAAGTTCTCACTGATGGAAGGAGGTTTTGGCTCAAAATCTCACGATACATGGCCCCATTCATTCTGTCCTTAACACGGATCAGTCGTCCTGTCCCCTTTGCAGAAAAACAGCCCCATAGCATGATGTTTCCACCCCCATGCTTCACAGTAGGTATGGTGTTCTTGGGATGCAACTCAGTATTCTTCTTTCCAAACACGACGAGTTGAGTTTATACCAAAAAGTTCTACTTTGGTTTCATCTGACCACATGACATTCTCCCAATCCTCTGCTGTATCATCCATGTGCTCTCTGGCAAACTTCAGATGGGCCTGGACATGCACTGGCTTCAGCAGCGGAACACGTCTGGCACTGCGGGATTTGATTCCCTGCCGTTGTAGTGTGTTACTGATGGTGACCTTTGTTACTTTGGTCCCAGCTCTCTGCAGGTCATTCACCAGGTCCCCCCGTGTGGTTCTGGGATCTTTGCTCACCGTTCTCATGATCATTTTGACCCCACGGGATGAGATCTTGCGTGGAGCCCCAGATCGAGGGAGATTATCAGTGGTCTTGTATGTCTTCCATTTTCTGATGATTGCTCCCACAGTTGATTTTTTCACACCAAGCTGCTTGCCTATTGTATATTCACTCTTCCTAGTCTGGTGCAGGTCTACAATACTTTTCCTGGTGTCCTTCGAAAGCTCTTTGGTCTTGGCCATGGCGGAGTTTGGAGTCTGACTGTTTGAGGCTGTGGACAGGTGTCTTTCATACAGATGATGAGTTCAAACAGGTGCCATTCATACAGGTAACGAGTGGGGGACAGAAAAGCGTCTTACAGAAGACGTTACAGGTCTGTGAGAGCCAGAGATTTTCCTTGTTTGAGGTGACCAAATACTTATTTTCCACCCTGATTTACGAATAAATTCTTTACAAATCCTACCATGTGAATTCATGGATTTTTTTTTCACATTCTGTCTCTCACAGTTGAAGTGTACCTCTGGTGCAAATTACTGACCTCTGTCATCATTTTAAGTGGGGGAACTTGCACAATCGGTGGCTGACTAAATACTTTTTTGCCCCACTGTACATACTCAGTAGGGTTCATCATTTTGACTGAAACTGCAGTATATCTGTCTTCACACAATCCTGTTAAAACGAGGCAATGATAACAAATCAGACAGAGACCAATATATTTTAATATATATATATATATATATATATATTTTTTTTTTTTGCAAAATACAAATACTACCACATTTCTGAGTGAGGGAATTGCTGTACATCTGCAACAACAGTGTGTTTAATTTGTTTTTCATTGTCTCCAAATTGGCGACAAAGGCCAGCTTATGCCGCTAACAATCTCTTTGAATATCTAACTTAATAGTTATTAGAAACATTAGTGCATGAAACAATGGCATAACAGAGCCAAAAGTGTACATTTCCCCCAGTGTACAGAGGACATTCACTGATGTCACCAAAAAGAGGAAATGAAACTATTTCATTGGGGCGCTTCAGGTACAGGCAGTAATCAAACTGAAAACAGATACAGAGGGGCTTTCACAATGTCAACACTGCATCTCCCTGTTTTGTGAGCTTCACCTCCACCCGTACACAAGCCACTCCACTTGAAGCCCAAGGATGAGCTCCTGGCTCTCACTTCATTGTGGTACAGTAAGACCAGCTTGATGAAAAGGAAAAGGGTGCAGAAGTGAACACATCTGGGCTCTGCCCTGGTTAACAGACATCACTTCATCCCATCACAGCTACAGGGATTTTCAGTGAGAGAATTTATTCGCTGGATTTACAGTAGAGATGATGGCTGAGGGTTTGAGCTCCAAATATACAGTTTTAAAACCAAAATATTCAAATGTGAACAAGCCTCAGCCACCAGCATCTCTTCAGTATTAAAAACTAAAAATAAGTGGATTTCACTCTGCAGTCCTTCAGCCTGTCTGTGGCTGGCGTCAGACCCAGCTGACATGCAAGGCACAACTCAGTCACTTATGTACACTTGTAGAGTTACACAAACACAAACACGCGGTACTGGAAAGTAGCCAAGTACTTTAACTTTTCATAACTGTATGTTTTGTTCTTTATTTTGCAAGATTTTATATCCAAAGATAAACTTAGTGTATGGTGGACAAAATTCTTGTTCTTAGTACATTTTTTACTAAATATGGTGGCAAATCCTAAAATGTATTCACATGTGCTTCTATTATTGCTGTTACATAAAAAGGTAAAATCATGAACAATCTTGTAAAATGACCATGGGAAGCACTAGACTCAAGGGCGTAGATTTGGTTTTGGCATTGGTGGGGACGGATGATTCAACCACTGAACGCTGCCCTGTTTCTTATTTTTTTCCTTTTTGTCTTTGCTTCTTGATAAAAAAAAAAAGGAGAAATATACTTGCCTACATATGCTATTCTACATGCTTTTAAACCGTTTAAAATTACAATTCATAGTTTTATATGTGAATTATATAATGTTAAATTATTATTAAACAAATGATTAAGTATTTTAGGCTTTAGTTTACTTCAGCTATAATCCATATAAATCAGGTAACATACAAAAATAAAAATAGCTTCAAATACAGTCATGACAATAAAAGAATATGACTTTAAAGACTTAACATTACTTCAGTTATAGTACACCAACATCTCTGATACATTAGCACTACGGGAACACTGAATGACCTGGTGGTTTTTGTCCATAAAACTACTCTAAGTAAAAGATCTCTCACCAAAATTATGCAACATTTTAGGCACTATTGCCTCTATCAAATCAGTGAGCTGGGATTTCTTATTCTAAACATGAACTACTGTTACAGCAACAGACATGGACTACTGGTGTCCCACACAACAACTCAATGTCTTTCTTTACTGTCCCATCCGTCCATGCCAAATCTACGCCCTTGACTAGACTAAACCATGGTGGACAGTCTAACGGGTAACATTTTTGGCTGGTACTTCGCTTGAACTTAACCGTCCTGAGGACTTCTTCCACCACTGCTAGTATTTAAAAATGATGAAAGTGGTAAGTGGAAAACAGGAGCTTTGTCCTTTGTGCTCTGACGGATTGTCGCTGTGAGATCACGTTGGGTCTGACACCAGCTAAACAAACTTTTTTCTACCTTAGAGCAAACGTCTCCCTGAACATCTGATGGGAAACGGTGTGCATGTGTGCATTCTGCTGCTGCTTTTTATATCGTTGTTATTACACGGGACTGCAGACATCCAAAAATATCAATCTGATCTAACAAGCAAAGTTTAGTTTGAAAAACACTACACTACAAACTCTGTGCAGCAAAGCATCACTTGTCCCAGTCAATATGGCTTTTAGGCTCCTCACCCTGACTGCTAAATCCTGCAAAGCTATCAGCACATGCTAACTTTCATGCATCAATTACAAAGACACGAATAACAGTTTCATTGCTGCAGTCGCCTCACGCGAGCGCCCTCTGCTGTCTGGTTCCACACACGACCTCGTTTGTTTTCCTAGGAATAACAACTTTTAGATTGTCTTTTTATAAACTGGATACCAAATTGTGAACTATACTTCACTTCAGATTACTTACATTTGAACATTTTAAAAAGAAAGTAAGTAAATCTATTGTTTAATTTTACAAACTACATTTAGAACCAGAATTTGGGTGTAATTTCCTCATTTCTTTTGGTTTTATTATTTATATAATAATAATTAATGATACAATTCTAATTAATAATAAAATTCCTACAGCTTTTAGCTTCCTTCTGCTAATATACATCATTTTGTGTATATGTAGCCTGTGTGACTGACATTTTAACTAAAATACTTTGAGGTGGGTCATTGTCAGAATTACTTACTTAGTTACTTCCAGTCACAGCTTTTTTTGCTTCAGTGTTTTCTGATGTTTTTGGTATCATGTCTGAATTAACTGTAGTCCCCCCTTTTGCTCTGAAATTGTCTTCACAATAAATGAAACTTGTTTTCTATCCAACTTGTTCCAGATCACTTTCTTCTCCCTCACAATGAAACCTCTCACGATTTGACATCACTTTCTCTTCCTGCACTTACTCATACTCCCATTTTTTCAACCCATTTTCTTCGCCACACTTTACTTTCCATATGTTCTGGTTACATGAGTGATTGATTATGTGCATAAATATGTTGTACCTGCAGCAGTGAACTGATGCTCCATTTAGCCACCTGACATTAAATTCACCATTAGAGTCACTATTCAGAGTACCAGATTTTCTCACCTTGATCTTTTTGTTGCTTTGCATACATATGCTCATAAATAGCACATATGTACATATGTTATTTGCTTATACCCACACACATGAACACACACACATAAAACAAGCAATACATGTACACCAACAGCCCCTCTGACAGCTTCAATATGTTTGGCTCCTGAATGATATCATGGACCAACAGTGTTTGTAGAAAAGGTGGGGGGGAAAAGAGAAACTTAACAATTTCAAGCTTTTACTTCTGAATGAAAACAGTTGGATATTTCCTTCTTACTTTTTTCTTTGTACTAGTTGAAGTTTAAACTAGTTGTTTTTAATTTTTTCACATATTTGTGATTTACTGAAGTATTTCCTTTTCAGGAGAATTTTTATATTGTTCTTTTTACACTCCTACATTCCTCTAATACATCCATTTTTCTTGACTCTTTGGGATTATTCATATATTCACTGACCTCAACATTGGGAAATGAATGATATGAACACCTGCCTTTGGAACAGTAAGAAGAAGTGATTATGAATACTTTTAGGCCCAGACAAAAGTCTCATCTAACTCACTGAGCACTTCTTTAATTTGACTGAACTCTTTCATTTAAAGCTTTTGGATGTTTTAGAATCTGGCTCTGGTTGGGATTGGCCTGGTTCACTTTTACTATCAAATGAATAAATGAATAAAAACTTCCTTGGACAATATGAAGCTCTGAAAACTGTAAAAAGTTGGATTTAAGTCAAACAGTTTTCTTCCTTTTCTTTCTCGATGTCTGAAAACTGGTTCTGAACTTCAAGCAGTCATTAGTGTGAAGTCTACCAAGAGTATATGCTGGAAATACAGCTGAGCAATCACTGTATCCACACATAGCAGCCCCACCCCCATGTACATGTTACACATATAGCACACCCACTCAGTACAAGAAGAATATGATGTTAATAATAATAATAATAATAATAACACTATGCGGTAACTTTACTAATACTCCTCCCCCGGCTGTAGAGAGGCTCTGATCATGCCGTCCACCCTTCTGATAGCCTCATCCGTTTAACTGATGGGTTGTGGTGCTCCTCATGACTGGACAGGGGGTGGAGGAGGAAGCTGTCGTTCCCATGGTGATCCTCTCGCTCATCGCTGCCTTCATATGAGCTCCCACAGCTGGACACGCTGTCACCAGGGGAACGCCCTTGTTCATGGGACCCCCGGCCTGTGGTGGAGTATCCAACTGTGGTCATGCCTCCTTCAAGTCCTGTTCCAACCATCCGGTCTCTGGGAGGGGAGGCTGGCTCAGACTTGATGTGGACATTTTGATGGCCAGAGGAGAGGTTTAGGTTTGAGTTCTGGCACAAATTCCTGTAAGATCAAAGCAAGAGAAACAGCATCTTAAACTCAGAGCAAAGCAAATTTTAAGAACGTCTTTAGAGGAAATGTCGATTAAACGCTTGTTTTAATTCTTTGGTGAGAATATGAAGATTCTTGTTTTTGGCTGCTGTTTCCAATTGAACATACAAGTGGATGGAAACATTGATTTACAGAAATGTGATCATGTTGCACTTGGGCTCCGTGGAAATGTCTGTTTTTTAAGGGGATTTCTGAATAATTAAGTAACAATTACTATTAATTAAACTATTTTTTTAATTTTCATTTTTTCCAGTGTATGCTGGATAAACCAGGACACTAACAGCTGAAATTATTGCATTGATTCTGGACAATTCTTTCTAAGGCTTGGCCTGTGGCCTGAAGGTAATATACACAGCTGCTTACCCCATGTGTCCCAGTGCTGAGTGTTGTAGATTCTGTATCTGCTGTTGCTGCCAGTTCACTGATCCCAGAACAGAACCTCCAAAACCGGACAGCGATGGCAGGTCACTGCTGAGGGAGAAATCTGAAGATGGACAAAAAGAGAAACTTGAGCAAAGACGAGGAAACCTGTGGAGTCCAGCAGCAGTGTGCTTTTGTTGTAATCACCTGTGCCATAAGATGAGGAAAGTGTAGATTGGTACCCACCCATCCCCTGACTGGGGATAGTGGTGGCAGAGAGAGTGACAGCAGGGGTTGACAAGGTCTGAGCTGTCTGGGAGTGATTTATTCTCTGGTTCTGCAAAGAAAAGGTAAGATGTCACCAAGCTAAACAGTGACAGCTGATTCAGGGCCAGCATTTTATGGTTATCTGCCATGCCTGGTAATCATGATTTGCTCATTTTAGAAAATCAGTAATCTCAAGTGGTACTTCTAGCGTTTGCTGGTATTCACGGTGACCTGGTCATGCCAATAACTCCTTTAGAGATCCTAAATTTTCAAGCTCATCTTCAGGAGCCTTTCTTCATGGTTCCTTAAAATCACTTCAGCGGCAGAATTTTTCAAATATCTCTAAAGTACAAATAGTTCCCTTACTTAAGGTAATAATGTAAATGACATTGGCACTAATTTCACATATTTGTAGCTTGTATATCATCTATAAACTAGCAGAAGGAGGCATACATGAAAAGTATGGTTCTCTCTGCTGATCAGATTTTTTTCAGAGCTACTTACCAACATCAGGTCAAAGTCCTCACACTGCAGGGCAGCAATAAAGCACAAACTCAAATGAGTCCGCACATAAAAATCAACTTATGAAATCAAACAAATCAAAAGACTAAGCAGAAGGAAGCACTTACAACAGCTGGTATGTTGTTGCACTTGTTGGAAGGGGGCATCAGTGTTCGCAGGTCAGGTTTACGGCTCATGTTCATTGAAGGACTTTTATCCTGCATGTTCTTGGGGGCGCCTCCTGGAGACAGCAGTCCAGGGGAGGTGCAGTGGTTGCTGTAGCTGTCGTTTCCTGGTCGGGCAAAGTTTTAAAAAGGTATCTCTCATTACAAATGACTACAAAATCCCTACTGTACCCCAAACCCATTTTTATTTGTGCCTATATTTCATGGAAGTATATTTATCATTGCTGTTTTCAAACTTCTGATTCTGACCAACCACTTCAGCAGGATGTTCTAAGATTTCGTGCGACACCATTTTTACATAAAATAGGTGAATCTTCCCTTTTTCTAGTGTGAGGCTGGTAAAAGTGTCTTTAACTTCAGTATCTGCAGATGTATAGTTGATTGAATGCTACTGGAGCACTCTTTAACGGAACATCTGGGGAGAAAGTTCAAAGTGCATCACTCCAATGAAAAAGTCTGAAAACGTGCTCATCCACTCAAAGTTTTATAACTGCAAACTCTAGCTGAAGTCAATAACCAGAGAGGGAAGATTGTCTGTCTCAGAAATGAATTTTATATTTTAGAGTTTAAGCAGCTGAACAATGAGCAATGACAGACTCCCAATGTACTGCTTTATTCCTCATCTGAACTGGATACAGGGGAGATACCTAGCTGTCCAGTCACAGGGGAGGAGACTTACACGAGTGCTAAATAGCAAGAAGAGACATTATCGCTACAGTTTTCTTCATGCATGTCCTCAAATTACCAAATGAAATGAAAAATGACACTCTGAGAAGCACCTTTTTTAATTGTGGGTCTAGCAGCAGTAAGCTGTTGAGGTGCTTGCAAGATATTTCATCAATGGATGTTCTATATCTTAGCAACCAAAGGGTTCCAGGTTAAAAAAAAAAGTTGCACACCCAACCACGTGCTACCAGTTTTGATCTTGTCAAGATCCTAGTGTGTGAGAAGAGCCTGAAAGAGGATGGTGTGTTTTCAGCTGGACTTTTAAGAGAGAGGAGATTTACAGCACAGGATTTACCTATCATCACCCTGATTTACTCAGTTTACTCTGTTATGACGAAGATCTATCTATACAAAGAGAGTGATAGAGATATATATAAAGAAATAAGACAGAGTTGCGTTCTTACCCACACTTGACAAAACAGTGCTCGACAGCTCTGAACCCATCAGTCCTACAGACAGAAACACACACATCAAATGAGTATACAATCTGGGTTTTGTTGTTCATTTTTATTATACAACGCCATAATACTTTGGGTGTTAGATTCTTGATCAGGAACTTTTGCAAACTATTTATCATGTAGAGCTCAGCTGTTATTCCAAACCTGATATGCAGAGATTGTCTTCATTCTTAAGAATAATAATTATTCAAATGAACATACTATATAGGGCTCCCAATAAATTACTACTAAAGAAAAAGACGATTCAAGAGAACCTAACACAGCTGGCAAAATTGTAGTTTTACTAACCGTGTTAGGAAATGCAAAGTTAACGCAAACCCACAATAGAAAGATTACTGGGAAAATGATCCTCTTATGGCCTTAGCATATCTATTGATTGTCATTATCATAGAAAAAAGTAGGAAAACACTCACGGCTGAGTCACTTTTTAAGTTGTATTCTTAAGTCTAAAATGCCATTAATGCCTGACTGCTACACCTTTTTGTCACTGCTGGACCAAATGTTGGCCAATACTGTTTTTTTTTCTCATATAGAAAATCTGGAAACACTGCAGCGCGTCAGGCTGTCTATGAAAGGAAAATCAGCAGGATTGTGAAAAGATTTTTAAATAGAAGACAAAAAACAGGAAAACACGTGCTAGGTAGGTTAACACCGAGTATTTGCTAGGTGTGGACCAGCCTGCTTATTTGCCCAAAGGCCCATTTTGAGCTCTAGCTGTGTTACAGTCCAAAACAGCTGAACATTTAATAAGGTCTTTGATGAGGACTGAAGAAAAAGCTACTGACCACAAACATACCTGCATTTCCTGTGCTGGAAGGACTTTGAGGCGACATGCTGTTTCTTTGCAGAGATGAGTGAGAGATGGGCAGCAGGCTATGGTTACCTAGACTGCCCCCTATGCCCTGATGGGAGTAGAGCAGCCCACCCTGATTACTGCCTGGGATGGATATACCCATGTCATAGTTGGAGGGCAGACCCTGCACATAAAACAAACAAAGCCAGTCGTCACTGGTAAGGAAACACGAAGCTGCTTAAAACAACGCTATGCATCAAAAAGAGCAGGTGTGAACATACACAGATTCTCTGTCGGTTGATCATCAGGTCAATGTCTTCATTGATTTTCCGGTATTTATCGTCCAACTCTGGGCTCTGGCCAGCAGAGTCATCAGCCTCGATGTCAGGGCTTTCACAGCCGTTTAAACCCTTCTTTCGCAGGGTCTGGATAAAAGAAGACAAACAAAAGAGTCAAACACAGCAGGGTGACTTTACTGTATGTACTACATCCACGGATCTTCTCTGAGACCTTCCTCTTTTCCTCCTGCCCGGCAGCTCCATCTTCAACATTTTTTGTAAAGTGTGTCCACTATCTCTCCTCTGCACATGGCCTAAACCTCATCTCAGGTTCACCTCTCTAACTTTGTCTCCACATCCCTCAACCTGAGCTGTCCCTCTGATGTCCTCATTTCTAAGCTTGTCCACCCTCTTGTGTTAAACAGTCTGGTCTAAAAGTCCATTACCCTCTCTCCCACACATCTGCATAACTGCACAGGTATGTCACCTGGACCAAATCTTCATCCAACTCTTCTTCATTTGCTAACTTTCCTCCATACTCACTATAAGCCTTTTTGTTGCTTCCCTTCTCTCTGCTGTACATCTAGCCTCCCAGCACTCCTGTCTACTTTATTTCTCTTTATGGCTATCGCACTTTTCCTTTGCTAAAACTTCCTCATTCCAACAACATTCCTCATTGTCTTTGCTCTGTCCTGATACACCAAACACCTTCTGGCAGTTTCCCTCAACTGTACTTTTCCAGTCATTTGGTAAGTCTGCCCTACCACCCAGAGCCTTTCTCAATTCCTCCCTGAACTAAGTGCATAATTCTTCCTTTTTTGACTTAAATCGTTTAAATCCTTACGTCTGCCTTCACTTCCTTAGTCGTCTTGATGTCCAAAGTCAAAATCGACCATCCTTCTCTCCATCATATCAGCTTTCCCTTTAGCAGCCATAGTCCCTACTCTCAACTCCACACCCCTGCCTTTCTTTCCCTCTCGCTGCCTCCTAACACACCTCCCTCTATTTCTGTTGCTATGTATTCAGCCAGCAGTAGTACAGTTTCCACCAGCACCATGTTGGCCAACAGCATCAGAGGCAGTAATTGTTATCCGGTCCAGAAGAATCTGGAATGGAAATCTCATTCTTGATGACCCACATATTCAAACTAACAATGACTACCATTCCTGATGGTAGCCTCTCCGTTTATACAGGCATCGGACTGGCACTGCACTGCTACTTGTGACTACTACAATTAGTAGCTCTATAAAACTATAAAACATGCAATCTAAATATGATTTTTATGAATTAAAGGCCCTGGTTGTGTGGTTAGTTAGTCTGCTCTGAGAAAGTTTTGATCTTTCACCAGGACTCTTCTTCTAATGAAGAGGTCGAACTTAGAACAAACATTTCCAACCACAAGAGGGCGATAAATGAGCAGCTATCCCACCAGTGAGGTTCCAAACTGACTTCTATAAGCCAGACAGCAGTGTAAAATGCAAGTGGTACAATCAAACCCAACATACTCGTTTCACCAGCATGTGACAGCATTCACAAAAAGGTCTCTGAATTTTTATACTCATGTTATGTGTGAAGAATAAACAGAATTTAATTTGTGTGTGTGTGTGTGTGTCTCAAAGGTCAGATGCTTCATGTGAATATTGGGAAATCTCTTCTCTTACACAGATATTGGATGATAATGATGATGGTGATGTGAGTGTGTGTGCGTCTGTTTGTACATGTGTGTGGTTTGGGTCTTGGTGGCCTGCTTCAGCGCTTCACAGCCCGTTAGTCCAGTCTGTCACCGTATGAGCATGGCAGTGCCTCTTTCAAACACAGACATACAAATATGACTGTTGGAGCAGCTATCCCACTCATCCCAGTCATGTACACCTGTTGTGCTTTAAAAGGGAGGGGGGGTTAGGGTCTGCAGTGAGGGGAGGGGTGAGGCAGCTTCCACCAATACCAGTGTGGCTACTGGAAGGATGGCCGTAGAAGGTTATTTTTTGCCACTGTGCTCCGCAGTGTTCCTCGTCACTCCCTTGCAATTTGTCAATCTGGCTGCTCTATTAAAACATAAAACTGACTCCACTAGCCTACTTTTCCCTCATCAAATACACACAGAGCACACAGTGCTACTACATTACGCCTCACTTTGCTTTTTTAGTGGAAATAAAGACTGAATGCAAGGAAGTCAGGTGGAAACATTTTACTTATTAACTTATTAAAGGAGCAAACTGTAAAAATACTTCACGTGTTTATGCAATAAAATGTGAATTTAAGGTAAAGTAGAGGTCTCCTAATGACTGGTATTACATCTGTAAACAGTGTTTAAGCATTAAAGTTAGTCTTAGTCTGCTGGTTTCAAATTTAGGTTTGACCCAACTCCAAAGCGATTGTGAAATGATTCATTTGAGAGGATAGAAGAAAAACAAAATTGTAATTAGGGCTGAGAGATAAATTAATCTCAGTAATTATCACAGGAAAAATTACCTCTATAATAATGACGATAACCTGATGAGTAATTGGCAGTCTGCACAATCATCTGTACAATTAGCCTCTGAGGTTACAGCATCAGGGTTATGTGGATAAAATGTTCACAAAGATCAAGAAAAAGACAACACACACAGTTTCTTTCGCTCTCTCTCTCTCTCTCTCTCTCTCGGAAAATTAGAATAAGTGATCATGGGGAGAGTGTGCAAGATGAGGCGATTGTTGTTAAGAGACAATCACTGACAAGAAAACAAAAAACTCTTCCAGGATTTTAAAAGGTTCCACAACCAAGCAGCCAAATCTGCTAACAAGCCTCACAAGTAGTTCAGTCTGCAGCTTCTTTTCTTTAACAGAAACCTATCTGTAGCTGTTTGTCAGCTACATCAGCAGCCATGCAGTCAAGCTTTAACTGCAGCCAGGCAACTTCACCCGCTCACTTTCACCCATCCGGCAGACAAATCTATGCACATCATTTAAGCTGCTTTGGTTTGCCTACAGTTGCTGCACATAACAGCTGCTTTGAAACCCACCTCCAATCCACAGCATGTCTTTTGTCCCGTCTTCCTCCCCTCACCCACCCCTGTCACGGCAGATGGCCGCCACTCCCTGACCCTGGTTCTGCTGGAGGTTTCTTCCTGTTAAAAGAGAGTTTTTCCTTCCCGCTGTTGCCAACGCGCTAACTCATAGAGGGGGTCTTATGATTGTTGGGGTTTTCTCTGTTGTATTATTGTAAGATCTACCTTACAAAATTCCATCCAACTCATCTTTCCATAGCGTATCTGACTGAATCCTATTTGTTTCCCATATATCCTGTCCATCTCTACTGCATCCATCTAATAAGATACTTAAGAAAAAGCAATTCAAGTTGTAACATACAAGTACACAGTATACACTAAATTCTTCCAAGGGACTAGTGTTGTAGTTTGCCGAGACGAAGCTAATGTGTTACAGATTCATATACTTCTAGGTACTGCAATACACATCATTGCTTCTTACTGTATAAACTGAATGGAGGAAACTTAACTGGTGGTTTTCAATCAGTCAATTACTTGTAAAAGGTAGTGGGGAAATTTAGCTGCCAGTGGTGAGACTGATAGAATCGCACGCAAATATTCAGCTAACATTCATTAGAGTTCAATTCTATTTCATTTATACAGCATTAGGTGCCTTTCTTTTAAGGCACCTAGTGAAATATCTATGAAGAGTACTGCTCTATAGCAGAACTCTTGCCCTCATTGACCTCCAGCTCTCTCTCTGGGCAGCAGCTGTGCCCACACCAAAGCTAGGCCCTGTTTGAGAGTCACTCTGTTGTGTCTAACTTTGTCGCTCAGTGATCATTTGTAAATATAGCCAAGATCACAGCACATTCATTAAGTGGTGTGAGCTGGTGTTGTCAGACAGTGCTGTTAAATCAGGTGCAAGGTTCTTAGGTTCTTTGTACAAAATATGTCTGAATACAAAGAGCATTAAATTACATCTTTAGTCTTGTTGTGTTTTAATGAAATTCAAAAGCATTATTTGGGGGTGGCTGTAGCTCACGAGGTAGAGCAGAAGGTTGGTGGTTTGATCCCTGACTGCTCCAAAGTAACCAGATATTTGGACAGTGCTCTGTTCAGTAAGCGATATCACAGTCTTCACATAATAATGCAAATACATAAGTACATGTTCTGAGGTCTTAGTTATTTCCAACCACTGATGAGGAGTGTGTGTTTGTCAGGGCTGAATATGTGTAACGGCAGGTGGCTGGAACAGATTCCTGCTTTGGCATTTGCAACTTAGGGGGAGACAGCTGACGAGGAAAGAGGGAAAGGGAGATCCCATAATATCAAATCAGCTGCCCGTCTCCCACCCAACTCCACCATTCATTGCTTTTCCATCCATTTTGTTTTCTCTTTTTGGCTTCACTTGCTCCATTGGCATCTCTTTTCGTGAGCGGTCTCCTTCTCTTTAACATCAGACGATACTTTAAATCTATGTGAGCGTCAGTGTGTGTGCGCAGTTGCTCTGAAAGTGAGCATGTGCCAAGGAACATGACATGCAACATTTACACCATCGCAGGCAGCAGATTGCAGTTTTGTCCAAAATTAGACCAACATTATTTACAAAGACACAAGAAACAACTGTAAACATTCAAGTTATGGATCCCAAACTTTCTACGCATTTCTCTGAAAATTTCCTCATGATTTCCTTAAGAAATAGCTTCTATGTAGCTATCAGCTGTAAACCTATTACTTCTGACTGAGGTTGGTGAATGACAGTTTGTAGAGGATGGGAAAAACTCCAACATGATTCTGTAGTACTGGAAAAGTTCATATATCATTAAGCAGTTTTGTCCCCTTTATGACGGTTTCTATATTAATTGTAGAATCAGATGTTGTGTAATGTTGCTCATGAAAGGTATGTCTGACTACCTTTCTTTTGAAGAATGTCCCTTTCATCACCTCCAAAGTTTCTGCTCTGTCTGATAGGTCTGCTTTTTTTTCAGCTCAGTCATGCAGCAATACCTTTTTAGACCACACACTGAGAGGTCCATCCTACTGCCACCTATGCAGAGAACACCCTTAACAGGTCTCCAACCCACTTTGTTTAACAAAGAGGGACATATAAGCATTCACTGACCATGTTAATTGACCACGTTACTGGGGAGGAAGCCAGAATACCTGGAGAGAACCCATGCAGGCACAGGGAGAACATGAAATCCACACAAAAAGGCCCCAAGCCAGCTGGTGGACTCGAACCCAGAACCATCTTGCTACAGACCACACCCCAATGCTGCCCAGGGGATCATTTCCTTTAAAGGATGTAACATAACTAAGGACCTGGAAAAAATTTCTGACCCTTAATTTGCCACGAAAAACTAAAAACAGTCCACACCTGTCCATGAAACCGTAATCACACATCTAAATGTTTATATGTGTGATTATTTTTTAACTACATTAACAGCACACAGATTTCCATCCACAACACTAAAGAAGTGAGACAGTAGTGTAACATTAGTTTCGCTCTACTGTTAATGTGGTATTTTCAGTATTTCTGTATTAGTTTTAACTCACAAGAGTGCTTCTGCAATGCTGCTGTTATATTTAGTTATGGATCTAATCTTTTCCTCCACTGCTAAAAGAGAAATAAAAAAGGACATCTCATTGTGTATATATAAATATCGGACACACTTTTACATGAAGTCCTTGACTTCCTCTCGTTAGGTATGTGCTGGACTGGACAGAGAGGGGAAAAGGAAGGAGGGAAGAGAAGGAGGTTGTGGGGAACTTCAATGTGGTTACTCAGTCTGAAGTTGCTTCTTTTCCTATTCTTTATTTTCCTCCTGTGGTTCACACACTTATACACACACACACACACACACACACACACACACACACACACACACACACAGCAAACCACAATCACACACTCACTGCCCGTCATGGCTATTCTTAGCTGTGTTCTGGGCTATTTTTAGACCACTACCGGTTTCCAGCCATTTAGCAGGGAGGGATCTCAGCCAACACAAAGGAACTGGACTCACTCCGCAAGCATATGTGAGTGTAGGTTTCATCTGTTTCTAATCAGAACACGGCACGGATCCACAGTTTAACACACACACGCACGCACAAACACACACAGCGGGCTAAAGCAAAAGAAGGTTAACAGAGTAAAAGTGAGGAATGCAGACTTATAAATAGCAGCAATGTTCCCAGTCTAAATGAACACAAAACAATAAGCTGATAGTTATCTGGCCAGTAGCCTGTACACACACAAACAAGCACATGAGAACAAAAAAAGATAACCAAAACAAAAGAGCCTCTCTTCTACTAAATTCCTGCCTGCCAGATATTTCATTGGCGGAGTCTTTTCACATCTCTGTGGACATACTATCATCTAGAACTCACACTTCATTCCCCATCCAACTCAGTTTTTCCAGTACATAAATAAGCGTTTCGCTCATAGGGAGTGATGTGATTGTTGGGTTTTTCTCTGTTTTCTTCGTATCGTTGTAGGGTCTTGACCTTACAATATAAAGAGCCTTGAGGTAACTGTTGTTGTCATTTGGTGCTATATAAATAAAATTGAACTAAAAAAATCCTCTTGGTCTTTAAAGATACTCTGCACTTAATAACAGCTGTGGGTGAATGTTTTTTACATAACTGACACATTTGAATACTAGTCCTTTGTTTGTGCTGTTGGTCCCTTTTTGGGCATTTGTAAAGGGATTAGGACACAAAAGATATGGTTACTGTGTGGTATAGACTGACCAAGAAGTCTGGGTTAAGTTCATTTCTACACTTCCTGGCATGTTAGCTTATGAACCTGGCAAAAATAATCAGTCCTATGCTAAAAAAGGTAAATAAATAATAAAAATCAACCCTGAGACAGACCTAAACATACCAAGCCTTCATATTGAACAGTCAAAAATGCAATAGATGATGTTATGGTGGTCAAGTCTAGTCTTTAATATCTATAATTTATAGCATGACATGGAGTTACATGAAAAATAGTCTCCACAGGACATTCAACTGCTTCCTTACTCAATCTTACTGCTTCCACAGGAATTAAGAGAGAAGCTAGCAGCCAGGTGCTGCTAATCAAATTCACTTGATTAACTGATCATCAGTGAATGTGTGCACCTCCAGAAAAGCTGAACTTTTGCCAGTTTGCTGCACTGAAGCATTCAGATGTGTGCTAACACAATATCACGATCTTCACAGAAGTGAAGGACATTCACCCCAGGCTCACACAATACAATGATCAGAAAAAGCTTGCAGTCAGTGAGTGGAGCATGAACTCTTCGATAAACCAAATAATCAAATGTGAGGCTATTTGTATGACAGCTAAAGTGAGAGCTTTCTTCTCAGACTGCATGCCTGAGCATGCAGCCACAGCTCAGGGTGTATGGCAATTCACTATAGCACTGTATCATAATACATTTAAAAAAGTAAAAAAAAAAAAAAAAAAAAAAAGGTCCGTCTTTCATAGATTATGGGGCACAAATTTACAGTTGTGCTCAAAGGTTTCCATCCACTCATCATGGGCTTTTTCAAGACTAGGATGAATTTGCAGCATCCATCGAAGTGTGTGTGCAGATAAGATGCTTAGGTATTGAGAAAAGCACTTGTGTCACTGGGCGAGGCTTCAAGTAAAAAGTGCTTGAGTGCTAAGTTAGAGTCTCAGTCCATTTCATTTGGCAAAACAAATTAACAATGGCACCCTTACATACAGAGCTGGAATTAAAATGAGTCCAGAGAAGAAAAACTCCACTGGCTTTATCAAAATGATCCACTCATTCATCACTCCTTTCCACTACAATTTTACGAAGGTTAGGAAACTAACAAAAACGCCATGGCTAGGCAAAAGAAAAAGTGTGCACACACACAGGAAAAGAAAGCTGGACAGTAGCGAGGGAGGATAAGTTGTACAGAGGTTACAGTGGCAGTGACAGCAGTGAGCAGTAAATAACGCTGCTGTTCAAACTGTGTCTTTACAGCACAGAGATGAAGGGACTGCAGGTATAGATTATAGTAATGAGCTAAACAGGATTGTAGTAGATTACAGAGGATTACATAGTGCGTAAAGCTGGCTCTGATGGGGTTGCCCGAAAGGTCATGTGGTCGGCAATGTGGGGGAAAAGCTCAGGTGATGCACGCATACGGTGTGTCCACGTGCAGGCAGAGAGCAGAGAACGGCATCAACACAGTCCTCTGCCTTCTCGTCTCAACAGGATAGTCCTGCTTATGAGAACAAACCTTGGCTGTTTACATTTAATTGTCTGAGTCATCTTCCTCATCATTTCCTAAACATAATCTGTTGTTTAGCAATATGTCACATGTTTCATTCAGAACTGCCTGGATTCTGACATCTTACAGCTTAGATTTGACCTTGGTGTCATGGTGTTCTTAGCAAGTGTCCAAAACGTGGGCGCGTGTTTCCACAGAGTGTGTGTTTGCATGTGTCTGCAGAGGCAGTTGCTATTGTGCTCTTTTCCTAATACTGTGACTATTAAGATTAAGCAGAACAAGGTTCAGTCCAGCACAAACTTTAGTACTGTGTGTTGCTGAAATGTTATACAGTAGGTCACACACACATTTGCACAGTGAGGTCAGATCCTCAAAGCATCATAGTTCCGATTAATAAACTATACAGAAAGAGTTTTAGCTACACAACACTGACTGTGAGGACATAAGCTCCACCCACCAGTTGTTCAAAACTGCTCTTTAACTTGCTGGGCCCACGTCCTCATTTTAGGTTTGACAGTGTTTTAGTAGATAAAGGCGAATGGCTTAAACATGAATTGAGCTGCGGTTTGGGGAAGGCCTCGAAGGGGACTGGCGGTGGCTCCTGGGCCTGGAAGAGCCCCACGTACTAAATAAAAGTAAAGAAGTTAAAGAACTGAAAAGGGGAGGGACGTAAACGAGAATGAACAGCTTGTAGAACTGGGGGAACATAAATAGATGAGAGCCAGAGGGAGCATGTTTGGAGGCGTGGTCCCGCTCCTGAAATTCTGATATGAGGGGCAGCTAGTTGGGAGAAAGTAGTCTTGATGTGACAGGGTGTCCACATCAAATAGAATAAGTAAGAATAGTATAAAAAAGATTAATGGATGGTTTCTCAGAATTCTTTTTGCTCAATCAGGAAACTGAAAAGACCAAAGTCAACAGCTTATACATGTTGAACGTGTGTGTGTTTTACTTACATCCACAATGTCGGAGTTGGTCCTGCTCTCGTGTGGTTCATTGTATTCGGTGTATTTCAGCAGAACTTTGTCCATGTCTGTGCTGGCATACTGAAACAGCTTGTTGGTGCTGTTGAAGATGATCAGTGCAATCTCACAGTCGCACAACACACTGAGCTCATAAGCTTTCTTCATTAGGCCAAATTTACGCTTAGTGAAAGTCACCTGGAAGAAAGGAAGGTAAAAGGAGAACCGTGAAATGTCTAGTTATTAATGAGTCCATCTACCATTTTGCAAATCGTCACCCTATGACATATTATATATAACTTACATGGTCATATATATGGATTTAGGTATGCAACAGAATCATCTTCATCAATTATGGAAAGCCATAAAGGTTGTGAACAGGTGTAAACTGCTGCTGAGATATTGCATGTGGCCCTGACAAAATAACAGAACATCTGAAGTACAGTGTGCCACCAGAAGAATCTCAGTATGAAAGCATAGGCTATAGAATAAAAGCATATAAGATAAAGGCATAATGTTTTTATCCTTCCTAACTCCATGCTAACTATTGGTGTCAGCAGTCAAAGACGAAACTGATAAAATGTCCAGCTTAAACAATTACAGGTTTCTGTGGCTAGGTTACTGTCAAAGGTATTACAACAAATTATTTTATATTGTCTTCAAAAACACATAACAACTACCAAGAATCTTGCTCGGTCAACGGGATAGGCAAGTGAAGGCCAAATGTTTATAATAAGTAACATTATTGCCTTTCACACTGTGCTGATAAATGTATGTTCCAATGATTTGATGCTGAAAATATGGTTAAAATCAGAGTCAGAGAGGGGCAGAGAAGACAGGAATAAAGCATAGAAAAGTAAAAAATAAATAAATAAATATCAGGATAACAAGATTATCTCAACAACTTGGTAGCTTGGGTGGAGGTGGGTTGCAAATCAGCTTGCATTTGCACTACAAAGAGTACAAGTGTGTCAGGTCAGCAATCGCTGGTGCTTGCTGCTATTTTCCACACATGTTAGCCATCATAAACTGAGCCGCTGACATAAAAAAGGAAATGTTATTTTTTTTCAGTATGAATAATTGTCATCAATATGACCAAGTACACATACTTTTACTGTGTTCACACCACAAGCCTGCACACAAAGAGGCACTGGTATACCTTGGTACAGACCAGGGAAGGACTGGGAGGTCAGTTCTGCCCTGTCAGGGGGGTCAGGAAGCACATGTGCCTGCATTTCCTGTCATAACAGGAAGAAAGGAACCACTCCCCCAGAAAAGATATGTGTGTGTGTTTGCGCCCGTGTGTGTCAGTGCACCTATTTACAATCAGTAGTTATAACACAGTTGTTATTTTGCCATGAGCTAGATGGTGCTGGCACATTTTGAAATGATTCTCACACACAATCACACAGTCGTGTTTGTGACATGACATGGTTTTGCTAGCTTGTCTGTTTTAAGTGTTCTTGGTTTGTGTTGTACTTGAGTGAAAGCAAGCGAAAGAAAGAGCGTGAACATGTATATACAGCAGCGTTTCATGTGTTCACCTAAACACAGACATCCCTCTGCACAGGGTTCTTGCTCAGAGTAATCATGAATAAATGTTTCATTGCATGTCACAGAAGCTCCTTTCTTAATGAGCTCATCAATTTGTATAATTCCTCTTTCTGTATGATCTTTTTGTTTGATTTGATCCTATCCTTTAATTTTTTATTTTTACTTAAATGCAGCAGCTTTTCCTTCGTGAATTATTAAGGTTATTTTTTATTTTAAACAATGCGCACTTTGGAAACTGACATGAAAACACTTCAGTTCGAGTTGTGAAGTTTTCAAGTGGAGCTAAAAATGTACCCTTAATGAACTTGTTCTATAAATACACTGTGGTGAGAATAAACAGGGGAAAGACTGAGGGGGAACCACAGGAAGAAGATGAGTCCTAAGTTCAGAGGCTGAGCCAGAAAAACTGTTTGGTAAATATAAAAAAAACTCTTTAAGTACTTTAAAGGAGATGTTTTATACTCATTTTCAGCTCAATTCAATTCAAATAATCCTTCTTCAGCTTATACTTGGCCCAGTGCAGCTCCTTACTTTATCCTTTGCCTGCAACAAGGCAGCATGGAGGCTGAGTGGTTAATTGAATTGAATTTAAACTTGCGAAAGTGTACCTCATAAGATTCTGTTCTTTCATATCTCAGTGATTAAAATAATAAACTGGAAGCACACTGTGAAATAAGTGCTAGTCAGAGTCTTACATCACTTACATGTCTGTTCCGTTCATCCATAATCCGTGCTATCTGGATCTTCTTTCGCCCCATCTTTTTATCGTTGACTGTTTTTCTTTTTCAGAACTGTCGTATTTTCAGGTTCCTTCGATTTACTTCCAAGTCCTCACGCTTTTTCACTTCTCACTTTCGAACTGTTGTGTGGTTCCTGCAGAAAAACAGCAATAAACAAATCGAGATTAACAAAACTTATGTATACTACAAAATTCACTGTCTGTAAGTCGTGTTGATGATCAAAACTCAGAACGTTTTTTGTTTTACACACACACACACACACACACACACACACACACACACACACACACACACACACACACACACACACACACACACGCACAAAGAAATGTGTGTGTCTGTGTGGTTTTCTACATTTCAACCCACTCCCAATTAACCAAAACAGACTCCAACAGCAACATGTATGAACACATACATGCATAATTGAAATAATTACCAAAAAATTAATTGTGAGTGGGTATCTTCTCATGCTACAATGCACAGTTTAACTGACATGCATGCGTGGTCAGGCAGCACATTGTCTGTTTGCATGTCACCGCTGTTGTATCCCCCCAGACACACCCATAAACCCAGCTTCCTCAAGGGGTTTACTGTACACTCAGGAGGAAGTGAAACAACTGGGCATGTCAAAATGCAAATGATAAAGATGGAGGAGTCTGGCAATGTCATACGGTATATAAAAAAACATCTACGTTTGAAAAACCAAAGTCGCAGACTGGAATTAGGTACATCTCAACCGCTCACCAGAAAACTTCCTCTTTGGGCGGAGCTGAATCGGACAAGAGAGCGGGAAACACCACGACCCAACTCCAACTACAGTCTTTACCCTCAAACTGGTGTCTTTGAAAATCAGTCCTAAGCAGAGCTTAAAAAAGGACAATTCACTGATGAAAATTACAATTTGATAACACAAGTAGAACTTACATAACTAACAGTTATTCAGTAAATTGTGTTTTTTTGTACCGTCTTTAATCTAGCCTTCAAAATCTTGATGAGCAAAGGACAGAACTGAATGACAAACAACCCACACTCAAATAGCAGCAACTAGTTAAAAAGAACTTCAAGTAGGACCATGATTTATAAAACCAACACCATGTTGTATTTGGTAAGACTTGAAACTATCAACAAGACCATAAACTGATCAGGCAAAGGCTGACTGCGGTCACAGATCCGGTAAGTGATTTCAGTACAACTGAATTTCACTTGCTTTGGCAACATGAGGAGCTAACCTCTCAGGGTACCCACTGTTACCACAAGGAGTTAGTTGCAAGAAGAAATCTAGCCATTATTCCGGTAAGAAAAAACAAAGGAAATAAGGAAGTGAAACTAGTGATGTTAAGAGTGTGCAGCGTCGATATATAAAACATTAATGTAGCAGGTTTTCAGTGGTGGGACATCAGAGAAAACCCACACAGCGGACATTGCAAACTCTACACACACAAAACCATACTCTCCTGCTTATTCTAAGCTCAACGGTATAATATCTAAGGCAGTTTTCATTTCCCTGCACATGCATTTTTACTGGTTTATCTTGTGACTAACAGTTAACACAAAAATCAGGTACAGGACATCATCATATGTCATTTCTTCCATTTCTTCCAAAAGCATCTTCCGACTTTTTGTGATTATTTCTGTAATTTCACAAAATGTAATGCAAGTTACATACCAGTGCCTCTAATGCAGCTGAAAGGGGGCTATTTTTTTGTTTTAAATGACCCATGCAAAGATTTAATTCTCTGGAAAAAGGCACAGACTTTAAAATGATCTGTTCTTTCACAACTATGTGTAAAGACAGGCTGCACGGATAGGTGCTTGATTTTAGACACCTGTCGCAAATCGACTGAAAACACATGAACTCAAAGAGGGATCCAATACTTTTGACTATGCAGTGAGTGTGTGAGAAGAATCACAGTGAGCAGTATGTGGCGTTGTGTTACTAAATCTCACATTTAAGAGAAAAGAGACTCCTGTCCTCTTGGTGCAGAATGTGACAATTCTTAGTAGCAGCATGAATCTAAGCAAAGGGTTTGTTAATAACTTGTGTTGCAAAGAGCATGAAGCAGGATGTGAGCTAAACAGGGGACATAGAAAATTTATGCTTAATATAAAAGCAAGAGTACCAGTTAATGCAGTGTGTGTGTGTGTGTGTGTGTGTGTGTGTGTGTGTGTGTGTGTGTGTGTGTGTGTGTGTGTGTGTGCGCGCGCGTGTGAGTAAGAGAGACTGCGTATGCCATGTGACCTGTGTCACACTCCTGAAGTGGTGCTTAAGAGCACGCTGAATTAACTGGATGTTCACACATGCAGGAACAGACACCCACAAACAAACACACATGGCAGGTTTTCTTGGCAGCTTCTCTGCCGTCATCATCATCGCCGCACTGCAAGGACAGAAGAGGTGTGACTGTTAAGGTGGTGTCAGCCTTTGGGCACACAGGATGAAACGAACAATAAAATAAGGATTTATGCCGATGTAAGCGATGACGAAGGTGTGTGCTCTCTGAACAAAAGCTAGAATGACTTTGCTGCAGAGTGTACTTCTTTTTTTGCCTCATCTCTTTATAACCATCATCATCACTATTTAAAAGGTATGAAGGCTACAGACAGCACACAGACATAAATCATGGCAGCACAGGAACAAGCTCTGAGTGCAAGAGCCATAGAGGCTGGGGTCTATCACACCAGGCAAGACCCCAGGTGCAGGCTGGAGACAATCCAGCACATAACAGCAAGGTGCAAGATGCTAGCACGCAGGACATACATGAAACGCCATAACCAAGTCGTCAGCATTGTATACAAAAACATCTGGAAGTTACAAGGTCAAAATGGAACACCCCGCCTAGGGTGGTTGAAAATTACTGAGCTAAGATACTGTGGGACTTCCAGATACAAACAGACCAACAAAATGGTGGTGGCTAACCAACTGAATATAGTAGTGGTAGACAAGCAGAGGAAGATGGCCGTAGTGATAGACGTAGCGATACCGAATGATGGCATCTTCTGAACAAGGAACAGTTGAAGCTGAAGAAGTACCAAGGGCTCAGAGAAGAGCTCAAGAAGATGTGGAGGGAGAAGGTAACAGTGGTCCCAGTGGTCATCGGAGCACTAGGTGCAGTGACTCCCAAGCTAGGTGAGTGGCTCCAGCAGATCCTAGGAACAACATCCAAGAGCTCTGTCCAGAAGAGCGCAGTCCTAGGAACAGCTAAAATGCTGGGCAGGATCCTCCCATGTATCTGGTAGAGGATCTGAGCTTGAGAGATAGACCGCCTGCAGGGGCAAGAGGTGAGTATACGTCAATGGACACTGTACTGGTGACTATTTTTCAGCTTAACCAATCTAAAAATAAAAACAGAAGGTTCTGAACCTTAATTACCTATGAAAACTACTTCTCATTTCAGCCCTGGTGTTCACATCTCTACTTGTTTTCATGTTACACAATCTAAAGAACAAAGATTGACTGCACTCTGAGAAGATCCATCCAAATAATAATTACTACCAAAACACTCTTGTATAGTGTGTTAGTTCACACTAAATGTGTGAGCTGAATCAGTCTGCCATGTCACAAATAACACATAAATAATCCATAAAACAACAACCAAACGCTCAATGTGACCACTGAGAATTCAGTAAAAGATTTTGTATAAAATAAGGCTGTTGGCAACAGGAGAGAAAGGCAGCATCACTTTAAATGATTAAAGCTGAAACTGCAGTGCTGGCTTTAGTGGTTTGTTCATGTTGATCACGACCCTTCTGCACTCGTCATGTGCTTCAAAACCCCTCAGTGGTTCATACTGTGTGCCCGAGTTATAAAAGCAAGAACAACGAGTAAGAAGACATTTTTCAATGTTTTGTGTTTGCAGCAGATGGCCGCCACTGCCTCAGCCATACTCTGCCAGAGGTCTTCCTGTTAAAAGGGACTTTGCCCTCACCCAGTGTTTGATCATAAGGTATCACCTGATCTCATGGGGTTCACTCTTAAATAGATGCCAAAGTGTAACTTTTTTCATGGTGAATTGACTGATTCTTATATACTGTACACATTTTCTGCTCTCAAGAAGCACTCAAAGCATACCTCATTCACCCACTCATACAAGCACTTTTTTCTATCTAACTTTCACACACATTCACACTCCAATGCATGCATCTAAGAGCAACTTGGGGTTAGTATCTTGCCCAAGTCTGGCATGCAGACTGAAGCAGCCAGGGATCAAGCCACCAATTTTCCAATTAGTAGATGACCAGTTCTACCTCATGAGCTACAGCCACACAGAAAAGGCTTCTTCCTTTGTAGACAGAGAAACAAACTTCTCCGCCTCAGTTCTCACTTATACAATGGAGAAAAAACTTACACTGTGTAATTTTCTTTACCTCGTCCCCATTACTGTCTACTTTTTTGTTGTTGTGTCAAAAACAAACAGAGACAGCTCATAGAATATAATAGAACAGAATTCAACTTTATTGTCATTGCACATGTCACAAGTAGAAGGCAACGAAATGCAGTTTGCATCCATCCAGAAGTGCTTTAGCCATGATATAGATATATTACAAAGTATATTATTAGCAATAATATAGGTATATAGCTATATTACAGAAATGGGTCTATTATGGGTATGTTACAATGTACAAGGTAAGAAGATATGTTATGAATATGCTATAACTAAAATTATGTACTGGCTGTAGTGGGTATACAAGCTATGTACAGGCTATAAACAGGATATAAATATGAAACTATACAGAAATATGCAAGTTATAAACAGTTGTAGAATTATAATTATCGTATTGTACAGAATGATTGTTCATGACATGAAGCCCCATAGTTGTTGTTGGTATTGCCACAACAAATGACCAAAATTAAGCAGTTATTTTACAGTATCAAAATCGTCTGCAGCAAGTAGCAGCATGCCGACTAAAGAGCATTACATGAATATCTCGTGTGTGAGTCATCCTGCCTGTGAGCCTTCCTCATTTTAGGACATTACAAGGAACAACATGGTTTAAATTTAGGGCCTCACAGGCGAGCACAGTCAGCATATTGTAGGGAATTTTAGGCCAAATGGAGATGTAAGCTGGTGAAGGAAGATTGCGTAAAACAATAAAAATCAGTATGTGGGCACTTGTCTGCCAGTGATTTAACGC